ACGCCTTTATTTACTGTGCCATGTGTCCTTGAGGACATATGTTTATGAATTATGATATAGTCAGATGTTTATGAATCTGGGTATTATAAACCTAATGTCTTCAGCAACCATTTTTACCAGAGCTCATATTGCAATTTTTTAATTTTTTTTTTATTATCGCTTTTCTCTGTTTATAATACCCAGAATGAGGCCGGAGCGTACAACGGCCGAAAACGTAGTGATAAAAATGGTGACAAAGATGAGGACAATAATCCGAATAATGTAAAAATTTTTTTTTTTTTTATTGCTGGTAATATTTTTTTTTCAAAAATGTATTGCTGGCAATATGTCTTCTTCAAAAATCTATTGCTGGTAATATTGTATTTAGAAAATGTATAGCTGGTAACATTTTTTTTCAGAAATATATAGTTGGTAAACTTTTTTTTTAAATGTATACCTGGTAATATATTTTTTTAAATATATAGCTGGAAATATATTTTAAAAATTGCATTGTTGGTCATACATAATTTTTTTTCTTCAAAAAGTATATTGATGGCAATACTTTTTTAAAAAAATGTATTGCTGGTAATATTTTTAATCCTTCAAAAATTTATTGGTATTAATATTTCTTTTATAAAATTCATTGCTGGTAATAATTTTTTACAAAAAAGTATTGCTGGCATTAAAACCTATTTTTACACTTTCATAGTGTTTTGACCCCAGTTTGAGATTAACTATTTGCACATAACTAGGACCCTAACTGGGAACGCTAGCAATGAAGTGGTAGTTTCACGTTCCTCAAAACTTCCTAATCAGGGGCCTTGCTGCCGGATGTAGTTTATCGTCTTACCCAGGACCGCCTAATCTTGTTGAAATTTCTTGGGCACATAATGAAAAAAGATGCCTTGGATAATTTGACACTGACAAGATTATACTGAAGGCAAGTGCTAATGACCTACCCGACGAGCCCCCTTAAATAATTGGCAGATTAGGAAAAAACAAAATGCTAAAAACACCTGATGTGGAGAGCTCTGATCGCCCACTTCCTGAATGGAGTCTGTACATAGAAAAAAAAAATTCAACTATAAAGGTTTCAAATATAGAACTTTTTTGTCTGTCTGGTGTTGTCTGAAGTTTATGCCAATTACTGCCATAGTTCAGTTGATTACTCCGACTATACCCCTGTGCAAATTAATTGAAACAAAACTAATAAATCCGTTATTATTTACTTTTTTTTTCGTATTTTCCCCATAAAGCATGACCCACTGCACATGTTAGTATTTCGTATGTCCGTTCCATGAAGTCGTTCCTTGCCGATTAACCACAGATTTTCGATTGGATATAAATCAGAAGAGTTTCCAATGCAGTCTATAGTACATACTTTAATTTGTTCACTAGCAAGCCTTACCAGTGAACAAATCAAAGTACAATAGATTCGTGTAGCGTTACAAATTTCGTACGCTTCCTTGGAATAATGCCCATTGCAGAGAAAAGCCTGTAGGACAACTAACTGACTGTCGAGACAACAGTGCCTGGGTGTGATAAAAATCTGATGTAGTCCCGGATGACGCAATATTTTTTTAAAGGCCAAACAAGTTTCAACATGCAGCCCGAAAATAGATTCATATTACTGCACACCATTGTAAATGACCTAATCTGAGGAAAAGTAGAAATCGATTACTCCCTGTTATCCCAGTGGATCTATAACTGACCTTAGGTGAAAGAAAGTAAAGTAAAACGGCTGTTTTAATTAATTTGAACAAGGGTGTAAACTTACGCATGCCGGTTTCGTGTATATGCTCTGATTTTTAGGAGTTATTTTTAATAAGATATCTTAATAAGATATCTACTGCATGGACCTCAGATTTTAAGGGGTAGTTCAAGCGTTTATTTTTAAAATTAAAATTATTAATGAGGTGCTTGGAAAGAGAGAATACACCCTGTCACTCCAGTAGATCTAAAACTGACCGTATGGTGAAAGAAAGGAAACTAAGGCGAGTTTTTTCTATTAATGTTGCACAAGGGTGTAATATCACCATCCTTGTCATGTCAATCACGAAGATCTGGCTTTCTTGATACGATTTGTAGTAATTCTTTGTTGGAATTTTTGGGTACCCTGGTGTACTAGTGAGCCAGCCAAAATGAGCTGACTCATTTTATAGTTCACCAATAGAAAGGTTAACCAATCACAAGGCTCAAAATATTCAATGCAATCTGTATAAAAGCGGCCATGTTTTTCCCGAATATTCACTGCCAGCGTTTGATATCGAAGACTGAAGAATTACGGAACAGCTGCTGGTGGTATTGGCGATATAGTCAGATTCAGTGAAATATCTGACTCGAGAGTATTAATCTTTAACGCTGTTTCATTAGACAGATTACGTATTGCGATGTATTCTATATTCATAGACTATGGTGAACATTCTTCGCCATTATTACATCTATTTTCTCCCTTTCAGCTGGTCTCCTGTTGTTCGAAACAAAACGTTCTTGTCTCTTCTAATACAATTTATTTATATTTTTTTTAATTCAATTCCGTACGACTTTTAATGCAATTCTGACTACGGAAGAGAAATCATTGTCGACCTGTGCACATTTTTGTCTTTGCGCTGTTGGCTGAATATCTGAGTTGTTTTGTTTTAATATACTCAGACAGAAATCTTCATTTTCGCTATATCAGTCACTATATCTAGTACATCTTTGTTTACTTTCACATGAACATTATTCTATACAATATCAGTAATTCAGACTAACATTCTGGTTTTTATTTTGATTGTTACACTTTTAGTGATATTTCCAACGATCTTCATATTTTTTACACCCTTCCAATAAAACAGTTTTCGTTATTCTATTCGCGATGTGAACGAGAATCACTGTTGTTATTGTTTTTATCACTGGTTTTCGAGCAAAGTCGTTTTCGTGATTTCCCACGAAAAAAAAAAGGATTATAAGCTGATCTTTAGAAATCGTTTCTTATTTAATTCCTCGTTTCCTTCCCTTCAAAACACAGTTTCTGCTCGTATTTGCTTTCAAGTAACGAATTTTAATTAAAAGATAAAAAAAAAGACAGAAAACGCAGCAAAATGATTTCTGGTATGCATGCTGCTTGAATTAAAAGTGGAAGCAGGTGTTGCAAAAGGACATAAAAAATAGCCTGTAATCTAACGAAAACAACATGAATTTGTGCCAGTGACGCTGTCTAAATCACGGGTTTCTTAAATTCAGGTTAACAGAATAGAATTTCGTGGTTAGCTTATCGTTTTAAAAAGAACCCCCAAATCATTAGCATTAACGAAAATGCAATTAATCTTTATGTGAATTGGTTTGAAATTTACACCTGCATATTTAGCTATGTAACTATCATATTTTTTAATTTTATAACGTCAATAATATCTTCTTTTATGTGCCGTGTCCCTTCAAGGAGCAGGCGATCATGGCCCTCCACATCTTCTATCCCTTGTAGCTCTTAATACGTTTTTTTTTTCTCCCAAGACCTTTTCTGTCATCCATTTACTCAAGCTTATTAAGTATGTCATACGTTGCTTTCCCCTGTCCCTCTTTCTTTCTATCAATCTTGTGAGTATCAGATTTCCCTAGCCCTCCTTCCTCATTACGTGTCCCAGAAATTTCACCTGTCTCTTCCTGATGTTAAATATAAGTTTCCTCTTTGTTTCCATTCTCTCCAAAACCTCGGCCTTGCTCACAAGTTCGGTCCATGGTATCCTCAGCATCCTTCTGTAGAACTACATTTGTGTTGCTTCGACTCGATTCTTCATCTTTGAGGAGATTGTCCAGTATTCATTGGCGCACAAAAGGACAGATATCACGTGACAGTTCAGTAATCTTTTCTTTGTTTCCAACGGAATTTTTTAAAAATCATTTCACCCCAAGCATATCAGGAATGCCCCTAGTACGAAAGGGGTTACAAAGAATGAAGGTGAGAGAAAAGTCTGGATATAGTGGGGACCAAAGAAAGGATAAAAGATGAACGGGGTTCAAGAAGATAGACGATCGCTGACGGAGGACCAGATACCAGTGACAGGGTTTTAAAAAAAAAGCTTTCACAAAAGTCAATAATAACCAGATATTTATATGTTTCGAGTGTCTTTACATTTGATACAAACTTTGCAAAAAACACATACAAAGATTTTAATAGCGCAAAGAAAGAAATTATAAAATGTGGCATAAATAAAATGAAACTCAAAAGTAATAAGCTTTTTCGTCAAAGAAAATGAATGATTATCAATTGTAAGAAAATAGAATGTACATTTGTCATCAAACGCAACGGTCCAAGATTTAAGGAAGTACAAACATTTAAATATATTGGAAATGTTTTTGTGCAGAACAGAAAATTGACACCAAAACCTTAAAGCGTATTGGAGTACGGAAATATGTTTTTCAAATGCTATTAAGAAATAGGAAAAAGGTGTAAGAAATTGGAAAATGTATTAAGAAATAAAAAAAAATATGAAAAAAGGTTTAAGAAAGTGGAAAATATATTACGAAATTCAAAAAACTATTAAGAAACAGGAAAAGTTTTAAGCAATAGAAATGTATTAAGAAATTGGAAAATGTATTATGAAATAGGAAAAGGTTTTAAGAAATTATAAAATGTATTAAGAAACTGGAAAATGTATTATGAAACCGGAAAAAGTTTTAAGAAATAGAAACATTAATTCACGAAATTAATCCTAGAATGGTAAATGCGATTATATATTTAATTATACAGGAAACACGATTTTTTAAATAGTTGATTTTTTCTGGTAAACTGGTAATTTTCTCAGTATATTAAAATTTAATTGTCTCTTAACATAGCAACCCCTTAAGTATTTATTAACCACGACGAGTGAAGTGATTTCTATCTTTCATTGAATCTGATATCGGATTCCTGCATTTCTTCAGACATTGAATATCCCAATGATATTTGGTTTGGCTTTGCTTCTCGTCCTTGTCGTTTTAACAAATCTGATTTTGCCTAAACCTGTTTCTTCTCCGAAGAATATAAAATTGAAAAACGTTACAGAAGAAAATTAAATCGAAAGTACAAGAGAGAGAGAGAGAGAGAGAGAGAGAAGGAGAGAGAGAGAGAGAGAAAAGAAGCAAAATATTTCGCGTTGATCACGTGACACAAAATATCGGATTGCAAACTAGCGCGTTGCATTTAAATTTGGAAACCATTTTTAATTTGAATTCAATAAATTAGATCACCCGAACGAAACAAATAAAAAGATATTGTTGTTCGTTGAATAATGCATAAAATTGAATCCCGTTTTTGGTTTGCATTCAAAATATTTTCAAAGCAAAGTCACAAGGACAACAGTAGGCGCATGCAATGTAAAAATAAAACTTAAATTCCGTAGCTGCAGAGTTATGAAATTAATTAACATTTATTATATTAAATTATATTATTTATTTGTTTAAGTTATCAAAGTATTGTTGTGAATAATTTGATTTGTTTGTTTAACGTCATATCAAAAACTAATGCGTTATTTGATGCCGAAATTTAATTTTCTTGGGAGTTGAAGTAAAAAAAAAAATTATATATGTTATTCTGCTTTCACAGTTGAATACATGGTAGACGATACTGAGCTTTTGTATATATATATATATATGCTTGTGCGGACGTAATTACTGGTGTCGGTGATATGTGTGTTTTAAGTTATATTTTCGTTTGCTTCGTTGAGTTTGTTTAGCGGCATATCAACACTTCTATGGGTCCTTTAATGCTGAAATCTAAATATTTTGAATGTAATTGTATGTCTTCAATTACAGATAAAATGTATTGTTTGTGACTTAACTATAACTAGGTACAGTTGGAAATTTCACTACAAAGAAGTATTGTCGGTAATTTTTTTTTAGAAAAAAATGTACTGCAGCTGTTATTATTATAAACTGTATTTTATAGTTTCATGGTGTTTTTTTTGGGGGGTACTATTTATCCATACCTGGGTTCCTTACAGGTGCTGGGGAAAACAACAATCAAGAGATGATTCCACGCTCCTCCAAACATACTTGCTGCCGGATGTAGTTTATCGTCATACCCAGGAATGTGAGGAATAATTAATCGTCACGATAATGATATGAACCCTGAATAAAATCTATACAGAAATCAGTGACTAAGAGTGTTTTTTTTAAAACTTGGGAAATAATGGCTCTAAAGAATTTCTTATCATTGTAATTCGTAATAAGGATTGCTTTTTCACCATTCCCTCCTTTCTTATTCTGTAAGTCTTTTACACAAGGTCATCATTTAAGTTACTCGCTCTTTTACTCTACGCCACTTCCGTTCAATATCTCTGGTAAGTACCCCATTTCCTAAGCCTTCTATTTTATTATGTGTCGCAGATAATTCCAACTATCTCTCTTTTGCTCCCTCAATCTACGTACATGCATTTAGTTGGCTACCATTTTCCTTAAGGTTGTCGTTTGCTTTCATTTAGCGGCATATATACCTCTATAGGATATTTAATAACAAAATCTAAGTGCCGTATTTTCCGGCTTACAAGACGCACTTCTTTCCTAAAAAAATATCCTGAAAACAACGTGTGCGTCTTCCAAGACGAATGTAGGGCAACACACAGGCTCAAGTAAGCTTGGATGGTCACCAAATTGGCTTGACTGACTGGAAAGTGGATTTGTATGTTGAGTCATTACACTATAATGTTAGCTATTGAATTCAGCTTTTTATATGATGTAACCTCAGTACTTAGGTGTTACAAGTACTTCCAAGACTATAAACCTTCCTGGAGCCGAGCCACAATCTTAAACATGCTCTGTTTATGAGCAGCGGCGGGACCCTCTCTGCTCTTGACTAGTATGTCGTTGCCATACAAAGAAAATCAGACGAATGATTAATGTAAACAATACATGGCGCCAGTATGTAAGGGATGCATGGTAAATGTGTTGTTGTATGAGAATGACATTTTTTTCTCTGTTCAGTACCGAGATGGGTGATCGCTTGGGAATACCAGGTGCTGTAAGCTTGGATGTGGCGGTGGTGTAATGGATAATGGCTCGGAATTGTTAATCGCAGGGCCAACTTCCAATTCCCGTTGGGTTCATTATATACACTTACGAGCAAATATTCTTGGGAAATATAGGAATCTACGTCTTCTCCACCTAGCTGTAGGTTAATTAGTAAAACTTGTATCACTAAACAAGTATTATCTCAAAAAATGATTCTTACAATAAAAAAAAATATTTTCTGGCTTTAAATGAGCTGTAAAAGGTTGATAAGCCGTAAAAACCAAATCAACGAATCATAGTTTTGTGTTTAGTTTTTAGAATGTATGTTTTGCTAGTTCATTGAATGTTCTTAAAGTTTGTTTTTCATCATTCCTCACAGGCCATTTTTTGCCAACCATTTACTCAATTCTTTATGTAGTTTGCTCTGATTTCTGTTTGCTTTCAATAAGTCATGTGAGTGTTAGATTATCCGGTCACTCTTTCCTCATTATGTATCCTAGAAATTTCTCTTTTTTATTTTAGGCTTACTTATTAAAACTTGATATATATATATATATCCTTACAAATCAAGCATGGTGTAATATTGGCAGCGGAACGAGATTAGATTTTAAAAAATAAGAAATAAACAAATATGTCTGTTTATTCATCCGGATTAAAAAAGTAAATATCGATTATGTAATGAAGATTTGAGTTCTAAATGTCGGCAAAAAATATTAATTTTACAGATTAGATTAAAATTATTTATTTATGCAAGACTTTGATTGATTGGGACGGCCTTTAAAAATGCATGTTCTCATCCCAATCCAGTTCCCAGATATGAACAAATATGGGAATTTTTTAAAGCTTCTTTTGTCAGGCCGAGAAATTTTCGGTACAACTGTTGAAAATATTATTTCTATGCAAATCGAATATATTCTTTAAATATATTGTGTTACCCAAAAAAAAAAATTCTTGGCCAGACAGACATTTGGCTGACGGACATTTGGCCGAGAGACATTTCACCGAATAAGTACAAGTAAAAATAGTAATAAGCAATAATTTAAATATTTTAATTAGCGGTATTATAAGGTAGAATAGGACTAATAATTAACACTGAATTTCAAGTGATTAAAGTTTTAGTATTTCAATATTCTTTATTGAAATTAATATTTAAAAAAATATATGCGTTTACTTGTGTAAAAATTAGCACCTAATTATTTACATTCGTACTTAACAGTAACATAAAAGCTAGTTTATCCCTTTAAGATTATGATAATTTAAAGCGAAATTAAAAGATCTTTCATATCGTAAAAGCTTAAAATTTTTGCTGTAGTAAAATGTGCATTTTCTCAAGATATTTATCAGTTGCAGTATCATTTGAAGTAAAATATTATATATACAGAATAGATTTTTTAAAAACGCCTCTGAAAAAAGAAAAAAATTATGAATTAATACAGTAAATAAATTTAAATATATGCAGCCCATTACAATAAAGTGTGTGACATAGATATAAGTACGCCACTACATTTTTGGCTAAATATTCATTTGGTTTAATGTCCGTCTGCAAAATGTCCGTCCGAGTATCAACACATTAAACTCAAATACTCTTTAATCATTTATGAACTGCCTTTAATTTCCGATTTCCTGAAAGAATAAAAAGAGTTAGGAAAACATTTTCCTTTTTTTCATGGACAGAACGTGGTAAAACTCTTCGTATTCTATTGCTGTTGCTATGTAGATGTTCCCAAGAGTCATGTTTTTAGTTCCCCCAATTCAGACATTTATAGCGAAGGCTTGCCATGTTACGTACCCGAAGTCGAACCAACATTCGTGCTCTTTAAATTCCAGTTGAAAATATAAAGTACGAATCAGGTAGTTTTTCTTCAAGATCACCCGCTTTGTGGAACAGATTCCTTCGCAGGTGCTTCCTCGAATGCTACAAGCTTGCCTTCCTCAAATCAATGTTAATTACCTACCTATGTTCGATATGAATCCGTCTCTCACTTCTTACTTTCTACTCTTCCATTCTTCTCACATACATCATTCCGTAAGTCACTACAATGATTTGTTATTCATCCATGTATGCACTGAACACAAGTAAAAATAGTAGTTTCTGTCTATATTTCAGCTAGTATCATCAATATATTGTTTTCTTCACTGTGTCTTGGCATTCTACAATGTCATTTTTCCAGAAGTAATTCGATCAAGTAATCGGAGGCCACAATCTTTACAATATAAGATCCGTCCTGAGTATGACGATAAACTACATCCGCGTCCTCGGTAAGACGATAAACTACGTCCATCAGCAAGGCCTCTGATCAGGAGGTTTTGAGGATCGTGGAACCACCTTTTAATTGCTGGTGTTCCCAGGTCCACCCTGACCTGCGGTGGTAGCACCTGTTAGGGTCCCAGCTATGGGGAAATAGTTAACAAACAAATTTGTTTAAAAATAGTTTTTAATACCAGAAATACTTTGTAATAAAAAAAAATTATTACCAGCAATAATTTTTGAATGAAAATTTATTATCAGCAATACTTAAAAAAAAAAAAATACCAGCAATACAAACAGCTATAGATTCTTTGAAAAAAGTATTACCAGCTATAGATTTCTTCAAGGAAAAATATTCTAGATATAGATTTTTGAAGAAAAATATTAACAGCAATAAAAATTTGGTCGGCATTAAATAACACATTGAGGTTAATATACCGTAAAACAAAACAAACCAAACCGTTACAACATAATATGCACAGATGACACATTACTGATAGCAGACAGGAACAAGAAACTAAAAAACCTCCTGCAAAAGGTAGCGAATGAGAGCAAGAAGAAGGGAAAAATCATAAAATACAAGACAGAATGCATGGTCATGAGTAAAAAGATGAACCCGAAATATGATGGCAGGTTAGGGACATGAAAATCAAGCTGGTTTAAATACCTAGGAAGTGTTTTGACAGAGGACAGTAAGTTCGACACTGAGACCCGTAGACGTATTAGAATGGCCAAGGACGCATTCCAAAAGCTAAGCAGAGTATTGCAAGACAGGATGATCTCTTTGGTAACAAAGAAAAGAATACTGAGACGCTACGTGACATCTGTCTTCCTTTATGGCAGCGAATATTGGTGTTGAAACTTGACTAATGCATGGAATAATAATGCAACACAAAATGTACTTAGAACAAAATGTATTGAAACAAGAAAGTGTACACAATATTTAC